GTGTATATATATATATATATAACCGCCAAATATAGATAGACATAAACCTGGCTTGCTTATTAACCCAGCTTTACCTATGCCGCCGCCGCATACATGTAACGCGGTCACCTCGCTCGACGCTCGGATCGGCTCGTCGGTGTCCGGGTTCGAGAAAAGGGGAGACTCAAGCTTACGAGACACAGTATATATAGCAAGAGATAGTTTATTTAGTTAGAGAAAGACAGATACAGCGTGCAGGGTCTGGCGATAGCGGGCGGTGAATGCTGGTCGCAGGATCTGCGAAGCGCAGCGCGCAGGCGTGAAACGCAAAGCGGCTAGCACTAGCGGGCTTATTACTATCAGGTCTTATTATTACAGCGCGGTTATAACTATCGGACTTATGGCTAGGCGGTTCTTATGACTAACAGGCCTTATAACTAGCGGACTTAACGGTACCCGGTCTTATTACTATTAGGCTTATCTCTATCATGCGGCTACTATGTACAACGCGGTATTTACATGCACCTTATATCCTATGGGTTAGCTTAGGGGTGAGGTATTGCGGGTAGTACCGAGTGTCACGTCGGGCCTACCTTGGCAACGGAAACCGGCGAAACCCGGCAGGGCTGAGCGAAACCTCAGCCCGGGTAGGTGTTAGGAGCCGGCGAAACCCGACAGGGCCAAGAGAAACCTTGGCCCGAGGAGTGGTGACAGGAGTCGGCGAAACCCGACGGGGCTGAGCGAAACCTCAGCCCGAAGGTAGAGAGAGCCGGCGAAACCCGGCAGAGACAAAAGAAACCTCGTCCCCGAGAGGCAGTAGGTATTAGGCAGGTTGGTGTCTGGAGTCGGATCGCAGGATGGGATCTGGTCCCGATGTCTCGGCCGGCCAGATCGGTATCAGGAGCTGGTCGGGATAGGATCTGGTCCCGATGTCTCGGCCGGCCGGGCTTATATACCCGGCCGGCGGCCCCCACTGTGCGCCGTCGGTCCAGCGGTGGGAGTCGGTACCGCGTGGGGACCCCGCGAGAGCGAGACAGAGCGTGTCGGCGAGCGAGAGCGCATGCTGAGCGAGACAGCGCGTGCCGATGAGCGAGAGCACGTGCCGAGGTCGCGCGCGCGTGCGTTAGGCAATATGGCGGCAGTGGGATAGGTAAAGCTGGGTTAATAAGCAGACTAGGTGTGTCTATATATATATTTTACGGCTAGTTTTCTACATTGGTCGTAGTAACGGCCCTGCCGTTACATCACCATCCTCCCCCCCCTCCTAGATGGTGTGGGCGCCGAGTCGGGTGGTGGTTCTGCGTAGCCGGCTGCTCCGGAGGGTCCCGTCGGCGTTGAATCGGAGGGTCCACTGGCCTCCGGGGTCCACTGCCGGTAGCGTCGTGAGACGTGCACCGCGCGGTGGGGTATTCGCAGGACGGGCGTGGGTCCTGGGCCGATAGGGAGGTCGACCTCATCGTCGGACCAGCTGCCGAAGAGCTCCTCAAGCTGCCTTCGCTCTGCGTCGGTCGGCATCTCGGACTGACTGATTTTTCGTTTTCCCGGTGCGTGTGTTTTTATATGCTGGTGTGGGATGTCCGGTATGCGGTTTGCGTTGTTTTTACGGCGGTCGCGGTGCGTTATCGAACCGGTTGTGCCCTCGGGCTGTGAATTTCGGGTGCTCGGACGCCCACAATCGGTAATCGCGTGGTCATCGGGCGCTGTGCGGGTGTTTCGCGCATACCGACGGTTGCGGTCGGTAATCGCGTTTTTACCGGCCGTTGTGGGGGTTCTCTGCGCATACCAACGCTCGCGCTCGGTAACCGTGTTTTTCCCGGGTGGTATTCGCGCTCTCCTAGCGTACCGACGCGTGTTACCGATCCGGGCCGTTGTTAGGCTGGCGCAGGTCCCCAGGGGCAGGTCGTCGTTTGCCTGGTTGCCGTTGTCGTGGGGTGGTTCCGGGTGCGCCTTCAGGTCCTGGATGTGGACGTGCCGGTGCCAGCGCCTGCGTCGATCCCGGAGGTCGACGATGACAAGCGAGATTATCCTGCGTACTTCCAAGGGCCCTACGAACTTTGGAGCCAGTTTGGCGTTGAACGCTTGCGCCTTGTTGGATAGAACGTGGTTCCTTTTCCACACCAACTCTCCGACCTTTGGCTTCCACTCTCGTCGTCGGAGATTATAGTGCCGCTCCTGATGTTGGAAGGCACGGGCCAGGCTTATCCTCACGAGTTCGTAGGCCTCGTGCAGGTGTCGGTGCGTCGTTTCTGGTGCTGGGGCGTCCCTTGGGCGCCGTCGGTCTTCGTGGTGTGGTCTGGCGAGTTCCCTGCCGTGGTTCAGGTAGGCGGGAGTGTATCCTGTGGCCTCGCTCCAGGCGGTGTTAAACGCGTATTGGAGGGCGGTGATGTGTTCGTCCCACGTTTTCTGGCTTCGGCCCACGTACTGGGCGATCATCGTCTTGATGGTCCTGTTGGCCCGCTCCTTGGTTATGTGTATTATCAAAGCCTAACCATTTAACATAAACTTTATTTCCTTTTCTTTTTTAGAGTGTATACAAAATAGAGTGATGAATAAATAAAAATTTCCCGTAATAAATGGAAAGAAAATGTTCCACGTGTCAAATCAATAAACCACATTCTGATTTTGTTAAAGTTAAAGACCGTTAAAGACCCGACCAAGATCAGCGCGATCGCCAACTGGCCTGCACCCAGCAACTTGCGGCAAGTACGCCAGTTCCTCGGCCTCGCCTCCTGGTACCGCGACGCTCCCACATCTGGCCATCTAGGCACGGCCAAAACAATAGCCCGCATCGCCCAGCGATACTATTGGCCGGGGATGTTTAGGGACATCGCGCGGTACATGCGCTCGTGCCTCACCTGCCTGGCACACAAGGCGTCACAGCGTCAACCGGCCGGGAACCTACGCGCGACTCCAGTCACCACCCCGTGGCAGCAGGTCGCCATCGACCTGGTCGGGCCTCTCCCTCGATCAACCCGGGGACACACATGGCTCTTGACCATGCAAGATCGCTTTACGAAGTGGATTGAGATCGCCCCGCTGCGGAAGGCTACAGCGACCAACGTGACGAAGGCCTTCACCGACCAAGTAATCTACCGTCACGGGTGCCCCGAAAGATTGTTGACCGACAACGGGACCCAACTCAAATCAGCGCAGCTAGCCAAAGTACTGCAAACCTTTGGCATCCAACACCGAACGACGCCGCCGTACACGCCGCAGTGCAACCCGGTCGAACGAGCAAACCGGACGATAAAAACCATGATCGCCCAGTACGTAGGGAAGAACCAGAAGGCCTGGGACGATCATGTGCCCGCCCTTCGGTACGCTTTCAACACCGCATGGAATGAGGCGACCGGGTACACTCCTGCCTACCTCAACCACGGCAGAGAGCTAGCCCGGCCGCACCCTGAAGACCGGCAACACCAGCAGGCCGCCGCAGCACCAGAAACAATAGAGCGACACTTGGGGGAGGCACACGAGCTCGTACGAATCCACCTGGCCCGGGCGTTTCAACACCAGGAACGCCACTACAACCTACGGCGACGAAACTGGCAACCACGACTTGCGGAGCTCGTGTGGAGAAGAAACCACGCCCTCTCCAATAAGGCCGACGCGTTCAACGCGAAATTAGCTCCGAAGTATGTGGGGCCCCTAGAGGTACGGCGGATCGTATCACCCGTAATAGTGGACCTCCGGGATCGACAAGGGCGCTGGCACCGCCACGTCCACGTCCAAGAATTAAAAGAGCATCCGGACCAAACCACAAACAACCCGGACGAACCAAGGGCACCGCCCCCAAACAACGCCGCCGTGACGTTGGCCCTGGACGAAGGCGAACGACGACACCGCCGCAATCGTCAACGGTCATATCACGTTGTAAAGTAACGGTTCTCGTCCGATCACCGTAGTCAAGCAACATTGCGCGCGGTCAGTACTTGGATGGGTAACCGCTTGGGAACACCGCCCGGTAAGGTAGAAATCGATGAGACCCGCGAACATATAAGTCCGAAAGCAACGCCCGAGGGCGCTCGGCTAGCCGCAACAACAACCCGCGCCACCCCCCGCGAAGGGTATAAAAGTCCGCGAGCCGGGAAACAAGCAATGACTCGATCAATAGTCACCATGCCGACGCAAGCTGAGCGCGAGCAGCTGGAAGCACTATTCGGGAGGTAGTCGTCCAATAGCGACCTGTCGGATGCGCCGAAACCACCTCCCGCCGAACCACCACCGCACGGAACAACGCGACCCCGAGCCGACGCCACCCGCCGACCACCGCCACGGGTAGGCACGTCCATCCAGCGCGGCGACGCCAAGACAAGAAGGAAGGTCCTCCTCCTGACCACTCCGCCGCCGCCACCGGATCGCCGCCGGATCAACCGCGGGCGAACATCAGGCCCAAGGCCCACGCGCCCGACCACGAGGCCGGCCACAGCGCCGCAAGACGTCCGGCCCCGACCGACCGCCAGTCCGACCGTCACGCCAGCACCGTCACGACCAACAGCGGCCCCGCAGCGGCAAGCGCCGGTCCGACCACCGGCTCCACCAGGACAACATCCTGCACCGGCCCCATGCCGATCAGCCGTCGGAGACCAGGCCCCGACCGACGCCGGCGACGGCTCGCTGCGCCGCCACTGCGACACCGGCACAACGACCGCCGGCCACCGTTCCACGACGGCCCATGGCAGCCGTGGGCACTCGGCTTCCCGAGCCCACCACGATCCGCGTGGCACCCGGAAGGGACATCCGGGTGCCGCACCGGGCTCGCCACGTTGAGCGCCGATTCCGCGAGTGGACTCCGGAGGGTCAGTGGGTCCTCCGATTTAATCGCGACGGGACCCTGGCGAACCGCGCCGTAATTATAAGTCTGCTAATTATAAGTCCGTACCTGCGAACCACGCCGTAATTATAAAACCGCTAGGAATAAGCCCGACCGGGGTAACCGCGTCGCGATTAACCCGCGTGTAAATAACGTCCCCGTAGATACTAGGCGAACGCGCATGTAAATAACCTCCTAGTTAAGTCAAATCCGCTTCACGCTGCACGCCGCTTCGCGCCGACCGCTTCGCGCTTACGCTTCCCGCTGCGCTCGCGTCTGCCACCCAGCGCACGCCGCCTAACACCGCACGGCCCTGCACGCTACTCTGTACATGTTTCTCTTTCAATAAACTATCTTTCTACCTATACTGTCTACGCAAGCTTGAATCTCCCCTCCTCTCGAACCCGGACACCGACGAGCCGATCCGAGCGTCGAGCGAGACCGCGTTACAAATGTACAAATCTTTTAATATACAAAGAGCATGTAGTTGGAATTAAAAATATGAGTGCTTTATTAAAAGGACAAATAATAAAAAAACACAGAAAACGATACTTGTGCGAAAAATGCAACGATTCGTTTGAGAAAGAAGAAAAGTATAATGATCATGTTGCTCTGTGTATATATGAAAAAACTAAAACAAAGTTTTGTAAAGAATCTAAAAAGTTTATAACAAAAATAA